GGAACATACGTCGCTTGTGGGACGGCTTCGCCAGCATGTTGGCGATGCTCTCTAGGGTGAAATCTGCTGCCTCGTTCCGCTTCACACCTATCGGACACTTTCACGTCGAATTCACTTAGTGTTTGATAACACGAAATGCAAAGTGATTCTTATACAAGGTGGCACAAGGCAGCACACATTCCCCATATAAATGTCCTCCACAACGTAAACTTGGTCAACTTAGTCGCGATCTTCATCTCAGGTACATTTCGAGACATAGTCTTTGTTGCGCAGGGTCTTCAATCGATCTGAGTTTGCTTTCACTTGTGATTGCAATTTTTGGGAAAAGTACCATGTAGCTGTTTTTTTTTTAAATTTCAGGTTTCGCAATCCTGAGCTCGGTCTGCAGCGTCTTGACCTGGTCTTGAAGCGTCTTCAGCTCCGATTGCAGCTTCTTCTTTTGAGTTTTGTAGGTCTCTGCAGTCTTCTGGGAAACCTGGAGTTCATTCTGAGCATTCAACTCGCTGAACTGAGATACACGAAGCTGCTGTTGGAGCTCCGTCGTTTCAAATTCGAGCTGGTCTAGCTGCTTCGACTTTTCTACTTGAATCTCGTCGCGTTCTTGTCGTAATTGGCTCAAACTTTGCTGCCATTCTGCTTGTGTTTCTTCCAATCTCTTGGCTAGCTGGTCTTGGATGCTAACCATTGCCATGCTGTTGAGAGCGAAGCCTGTGAGCCACTGTGACTGGCACGTGACTTCCTGCTGCAGTAAGTCGCACATGGCATTCAGCTCTACACCAGCTTGTTCCACCTCTTGTAGGCGGCGTTGCGTACTGTCCAACTGCGTCTTTAGACCATCAACTTGCTTGGTTACAAGTTGTTTCTCTTCTGCGACAAACGTCTCCACTTCAAGACGCTCCTTCCCCACCGAGGCTGCGTACTCTTGCCAGTCTTCTTCCAGTTGCTGTAACCACATTAAGTCTTCCTGTGTATTCTGGAGATACGCTGTCGTAGACTTCACCTCCGTTCGATCAATCAGCATTTCAACGACGCGCTTCACCTCCTTTTGCTCATACGAACTTATCTGGTCTAGCAGGTGAGCTTTCAGGCTACAGAGAGTTTTCATCACGTGTCTACAGTCTTGTTCACAGCTAGCCACACCGTCTTCACGAGTACGGATATCTCGTTGAGCTCGTCGCTCATAGCTCAACTCCCTGTGTCGCTGGCAACGCAGTCGGCTCATGTCACTCTCGAGATTTCTTCCAACTCGCCGACTACGCGATAAGTCACGCCGCAGGGCCTGTTTCTCAGCTTTCAGAGCTCGTATCTCACGCTTCAAGCGATCATCGGGCTGCTTCGGTAGTAGATCGACATCGTTCTCGTCCAGATAACCGCACAACTCTTCGATGTCTTCCGGTAGCACAACGCCATCATTGGTCGGCGTATTCAAACGTGGGTGCTTCTCTTTAACGGGGTCAACCTCATCAGAGAGAATTTCTGGTAACGGGCGCTTCGTCATCTTCTTTCTGCTTTTTGACTTCGATTGATGTCTGAAATTTATCGACTACGTATTGCCTGGTCTCATTAAAAAAAAAGAAAACTTTATTTTACTTAACTACTTCTGAAGTACTTAGTATCTTATTTTCGTTTAATTGCTGAAGATACGATACGGGAGTGCTGCTTTATTTTCAGGAAATAGTCGCAGATTAATACGTCGGAAGTACTACAATAAAAAATAGTAGGTGGTTTTGCACAAGATTCCACTGCATTGGTCATGTCAAACTCTCCAGTGTGGTCAGCACTTCAAGCAGCGAGGCGCGAACAGACTCGTCACAGGACTCGACTTGTGCACACATGCGTAGTATCGTGCATGTTTCTTTGGTCTGGTCTCGACTCGACGCTTTCTGCGCTTCCAACCGACTGACTTTCTCCAGCAGTTGTCTGCATTTCTCTTCAGCAACAGGATAGTACCGCTGGATGAACATCTGAAGCGCTTCTTTCTCCGCTACTTGGGCCACCAACGCGCTCTTTCTTCGCTTGTCTCCTTCGTCAGATGACTGACCGACACTTTGATGTTCTTGTTTGACTTGTTGCTTCTTAAGAGCCTCATTCTGCGTCGTCAGCTCCAGTATTCTGCTCTCTAACTTCAGTTTCTGAGACTCCTGATCCCTCAACTGTGTCTGCACTTGAGCCAGCTCATTTATGGCATCCTTTTCGCG